AAATAAAATTGCAAGCATTTCTCTTATATATATATAAATTCTGTCTTTGCAAAAACATTTGTTGGTGCAGATAAGAAGTAGTGTAGATAAGGAGTAAAAAAATATATATATATATATATATATACTCCCCCTAAAATTATGCACAAAATATACAAACGCCTTTTTTTTATTATTTATAATAATTGTTAATCTCAAAATATATGAGTCTCCCCCTAAATTAATGCACTAAAAATTACATAAATTTGAAAAAATAAATTACTAATCTATAATACCAAGGGCCATTAAGATCCGGCCATAAACAATTACACCAAGTGCAGTAGTATAAAAGGAGAAAATAAAAATAAAAACAATTTCTTTAGACAAGATAGAAGCAATCATTATTAAATCCAAGAGAGTTTGAATCACATACAACAAGTAAAAAAATATAACATAGTGCAAAAAGAATTTTAACATGTTGATCGGTGATGACCTTGATAATTGGAAGGAATAGAGAAGATTGTGTAGATCGGTGATGAATTTTTGTAGATCGGTGATGGATCTTGGTGGATCAGTAATTGATCTTGTCAGATCGGTAATTGATCTTGATAAATCGGAAATGATATTGAAGATCGATGATGGAAATAGAGCCGTGAGGGATCTTGGTAAGTCGGTGAGGAATTTGAGTGGAAGATGGTAGTGATGAAGGTGATGGATGATGTTGTGGATGGTGGAGCTAGTTGTTGATGATGGTGAGGATGAAGATGGGGTTGGCTGAGGATGAGAGGACGAAAGGAAGAGTGAGAGAAAGAGAAAATAGAGAGTGAGGGAGAGAATGAGTGAGAGATAGAAACAGAGTGGGTGAGAGAAAGAGAGAATATATATATATATGTATATAATTTATTTTTATTATTATTATTTTATTTAATTATTTATTATTTATTTAAAAAAATTATTTTTAATATAAACATTATATTGGAGTACTCATCGTACCAAGTTCAGTTCTAATATAACAAAATTATTCTTCATTTAGAAGCTTGGTAAATATGTCAGCTAATTGACGATTTGTAGGCGCAAATTCGAGTTCAATGTCACCTTTGAGTACATGATTTCTTAGAAAATGATGCCTTATTTCAATGTGTTTAGTGCATGAGTGCTGAATAGGATTTTTTGAATGGTTAATGGCATTTGTATTGTCACATTTTATAGGAATATGATCACAGTAAAGTCCAAAATCTTGAAGTTGTTTCATCCAAAGCAATTATGCACAACACCCAGCGGCGGCAATGTATTCTGCTTCAGCAGTTGACAGAGCCACTGAGTTTTGTTTTTCGCAAAACCAAGAAGTGAGTGAGTGTCCCAGAAAATAACAAGTGCCACTAGTACTTTTTCGGTCAAGTCTACATCCCGTAAAGTCGGCACCTGAGTAACCAAAAAGTTCAGCAGTGGTTCCCTTAGGATATCATAATCCCAAATTTAGAGTGCCAACAAGATATCTAAAAATACGTTTGACTACGGTGATGTGTGACTCTTTCGATGCTGATTGAAAACATGCACACATACAAACACTAAACATTATATTGGGTCTACTTGCAGTAAGATAGAGTAGGGAACCAATCATACCTCGATATTTCTTTCATTTACAGATTTACCTTACTCATCTTTGTCGATTTTTATTGATGTGCTCATTGGAGTTGCTACAGGCTTTGATGATTCCATTTCAAACCTTTTGAATAGATCTTTGATATATTTCGTTTGATTTAAATGGATCCCATCATTAGTTTGTTTAATTTGTAGATCCAGGAAGTAATTTAACTTCCCCCATCATACTCATTTCAAATTCATCCTGCATATCTTTAGCAAACTCTTTGCATAAATTTTCATTATTAGCACCAAAAATGATATCATCAACATAAATTTGAACAATTAGCATATCTTCCTTTTTGATTTTTATAAAAAGTGTTGTATTAATTTTTCCTCTAGAAAAACCTTTGTCAAGTAGAAAATTACTCAATCTTTCATACCAAGCTCTAGGAGCTTGTTTTAAGCTGTATAAGGTTTTTGAAAGTTTGAAAACATGATCCGGGTATTTATGATTTTCAAAACCAAGAGGTTGTTCAACATAAACTACCTCTGAAATAAACCCATTTAAAAAAGCACTTTTAACATCCATTTGATATAATTTAAAATCTTTAAACCATGCAAAAGCAAGTAACATTCTAATAGCTTCAAGTCTAGCAACTGGTGTAAAATTTTTATCAAAATCAATGCCCTCTTCTTGATTATAGCCTTGAGCTACTAATCTAGCTTTATTTCTAATAACAACTTCGGATTCATCTATTTTATTTCAAAAAACCCATTTTGCACCAATAACGGGATGATCCTTAGGTCGAGGAGTTAAAAACTAAACTTCATTCCTTTCAAATTGATTTAATTCTTCTTGCATTGCTAAAATCTAGTTTTCATCATTTTCAGCTTCTAAATACGATTTTGGTTCAATTTATGAACAAACGCTAAGTTAACACAAACATTTTTAATAGAGGAACGAATTTTTATACCTTCTGCCGCATCACCTATGATGAGGTCTTTGGGGTGGCCATGAGCATACTTCCATTCTTTTGGTAGATTTGAGTTGTTTTCTGGAAAAGCATATATTTCTTGAAGTTTCTCCATTGTCATTTCTTCTTTATGTTCGCGTAATGGATTTTCTTTATTTTTTTTTATGTAAATGCACTCCATGCTTGGTTGATTTTCTACAATATCATTACTTACAAGATTCTTAGAAATAATGTTGTTTGATTCATCAAAGACAATATGCACAAATTCTTAAACAAGTAGAGTTCTTTTATTGAATACTCTATAAGCTTTACTGGAAATTGAATAACCAAGAAATATAACTTTATCCAATTTAGCATCAAATTTTCCTAAGTTATCTTTATTGTTATTCAATACAAAGCATTTACAACCAAATGCACGCAAGTGACAATATTAGGTTTTCTACCTTTCCAAATTTCATAAGATGTTTTCTTAAGAATATGTCTAATCATAGTTCGGTTTACAACATAGCATGCAGTGTTAACGGCTTTCACCTAAAAATATTTAGGCAAATTATTTTCACAAAGTATAGTACGGGCCATTTCTTTAAGAGTTCTATTTTTTCTTTCAATTACACTATTTTATTGAGGAGTTCCAAGGACTGAGAAATTATGATCTATTTCTGAGTCGTCACAAAACATAATAAAATTATCATTTTCAAATTCTCTACCATGATCACTTCTAATACTGCAAATATTAAAACTTGTTTCATTTTGAATTCTTTCACAACTTTGAAAAATGATAAAAAGCTTCATTTTTGTGTGCTAAAAATAATACCCATGTATATCTAGTATAATTATCAACACAAATAAGAGCATATGATTTTCCTCCTAAACTTAATGTTCTAGATGGTCCGAATAAATCAATATGCAAAAGTTGAAGCAGTTTAGTAGTTGAAACGATATTTTTGAATTTAAAAGAAATTCTAGTTTGTTTTCCAATTTGACTTGCATCACAAAGTTTGTCTTTTTCAAAAATAATTTTTAGTAAACCAATGACTAACTCATTTTTTGAAAGTTTGGAAATTAAATCAAAATGAGCATGTCCTAATCTTCTATACCAAAACCAACCATTATCATTTATAGCAGATAAACATTTAATATTAAAATGAGAAGACAAATCATGCAAATTAAACACATATGCATTCTCATGTTTGTAACCTACAAATAAAATTTTGTTTTCTAGGGTGTTCTCAATAGTGCAATAAGTTTTCTCGAAAATGACTCTATAATCTTTGTCACATAATTGACTAATGCTAAGCAAGTTATGTTTTAAACATTCAACAAGTAAAACATTTTCAATAATAGGAGAATGATTTTTACCAATACTTCTTACATCAATGATTTTACTCTTGCTATTGTTGCCAAAAGTCACATATCCGCCATCTTTTGGTTGGAGTATGGCAAACATAGTTTTATTTTCAGTCATGTGCCTTGAATATGTACTGTCGAGATACCATCTATCGTTACTGAATTTTGTCTTGAAACATATCTATAAAAATTTAATTTTTCTATTGGTACCCATATTTTCTTGGGTCCATAAAAGTTAGAATTTGACACTCTTGAAATGTCCTTAGGGACCCATATCTTTTTTATTTTAGCAAAATGATTTCTTTTAACAAGACATGAATGTGAAATATGACCTTTTGTACCACAAAAATGACATGTGAGATGAGAGTGATTAGAAGATACATACACAAAACCATTTTTGACAGTTTTTACTTTTGAAAAAGTTTTATCCAGTTCCGGCTTTACCAAAAGTACGATTTTGATTTTTAAGAATTTTATTTAAAGTTTCTCTACCTTGAGCGAATTTTGAAAGAGTATTTTTTAAGTCTTCAATATTTTCTTTCAAAACAACTTGCTCCTTTTTTAAAGACTCATTTTCTTTTTGCAATACAACTAAATGTTTCTCAGATATTGAAGACTCTTTTCGAGTTAAAATCTCATTTTCCTTTTTCATTTTCATGGCTTCATTTTCTAAAATATTTATCTTGGAAGTTAATGATTCATTTTCTTTTGATAAACTTGAAATCACTTTCTTTGACAATTACTTTCAAACTAAGTTTCTTAAATTCAACATGTAATTCATCAAAAGCTAATTGTAATTCATCAAATGTAAATGATTCGTCATTTATCTCATCTTCATTTCCAAGTGCCATTAAGCATAGGTTAGCAACCTCATTGTTGCAAACTTCGGTTTCTGTGTCACTTTCATTGCTATCTTCTCCCCATGCTACAATCATGACTTTCTTCTTGTTTTTCTTGAATTGTTTCTTAAGTTCCGGGCATTCTGCTTTATAGTGTCCAGTTTTGTTGCATTCGTAACAGCTAACTTTAGATTTTTTGTGATTTTCTCCTCTTTGAAAATCCCTGTTGTTGAAATCTTTTATGAAAAATTTCCGCACGCCTTGTTTCTTTCTCACAAACCTTTGAAACTTTCTAGTGATGAATTTCATTTCCTCATCCTCATCCGAATCATCTTCTCCATCCTCTTGATGTTTCAAGGTGGATTTGAAAGCTATTCCTTTCTTCTTGTTGTTGTCCTCATCTTCCTTTCCTTCCTGTATTATGAGCTCATAAGTTAAGAGAAATCCCATTAACTCATCTAAACTTAGCTTTGATAAATCCTTGGCTTCAGTAATGGTAATGACTTTTGTCTCCCAACTTTTTTGGCAATGACCTAAATACTTTTCTTACAATTTCAGCATTAGTATATATTTTGTCAAGAGAAGTTAAACCATTAATAATATCAGTAAAGCGAGTAAACATTTGAGGAATAGTTTCATCAGGTTTCATTTTAAAGAGTTCATAATTATGGACTAGCAAACTGACTCTAGATTCTTTAACTTGTTCGGTTCCCTTATGAGTCACTATAAGCTTATCCCATATTTCTTTTGCGGTTTTACATGTGGAGATCATGTTGAACTTGTTGGCATCTAAGGTGCAGGACAACTTGTTTGTGGCTTTGACATTAATTTGGGCTATTCTTGTTTCTGATTCATTCCACTCATCTTCAGGTTTTGGTACCTTAAGGCCATCTATGGTCTTGGTAGGAATTTTTGAACCACTGCAATTAATTTTTCAATATTCATAATCATTAGATTGAACATGTATGGTCACCCTAGTTTTCCAATAGCTAAAATTTATGCCGCTAAACAGTGGTGGCCTATTGGATGCTTGTCCCTTGGGTAAGGAATAAATAGGGGTTGCCATGATCTACTGTAAGACGGTTAAGCCATACAAAAAAAGTCTAGGCTCTGATACCAATTGTTATCCCAGGTAGGCAACCAAAGAGGGGGTGAATTGGGTTATTAAATTTTTTTTTTACAATATTAAAATTTATAAACACAATATTCAGAATTTTAACAAATAAAAAAATTGAATAATAATTATCAATATAAAAGTAGGAGAGATAAGGAGAGAAAATCAAATACTGAGATTTATAGTGATTCGGCACACCAGGCCTACGTCCACTCCCCAAGGAACCTCCTTGAGAATTTATTTACTATCAAAATGAAATAATACACCACCATGTCTTCACCAAGCTAGTGGATTTTGCACATAACTTACTCTTATCTATTAAGCCTCACTTAGCAATAAATGTCTTATCCTTACAAAAATCTCTCACAAAAATAATGAATAAAAATAAGTGGTACTTAAACCGTCTTTTACAATAATTCTCTCACACACAGCAGATATGAAAGTGTAAGAACAAAGGATACACTTAGATCTGAAAGTAAAAGAGCAGAATACAATATACTCAAAATTTTGGAGCACACATAAATTTTTCTCTCTTTAAGTTCTTAATTTTTCTGCACACACAACACTTCTATTTATGCTCAAAAAATATATATCCGTTGGAGGAGGGGACGGTCCTCTTTTGACTTTGGAGTCCCTTTACATGGATTAGCAGCTGGGTATGCTCATGTGGCTTCATTTTTTCAAAAAGAGTGACAGCTGGTTGTTGGTGCTTTTTAATTTTTAAAAAGAACAAATCAAATACTTTGAATAAAAGGCAATGGATTTCTATCAATGAATAGTACGTAAGGAACAAAAAAGTGCATAGTAATTGCATAGTGAATTTTATTTTAAACTATTTGAATGTACATTGCTATTCTTAATAAAATATTTGTATGTATATTATAAAAACACTCAAATAAAAATAACCAATCTTCCCATGTGAGTATATCAGAAGAAAACAAATCATCAATATCACATTTGTGAAAATAATACAACTAATCAATCAATTTTTTCAAAATAATACAATTAATCAATTTTAAATCTATCAAAAGGTGAATAGTGACTAGCCAACCAATCAATCAATTTTATCAAAATAATACAACTAATCGATTTTAAATTTGTCAAAAAGTGAATGGTAAAGTTTTCACAATATTTTTATTTAAATAATATTTAACAAATATATCATACAATATATAATTCAAACAGATAAAATTTTGTGTCAAATAATATAAAATATGTATATAAAAAATTATCAATTAATATTTTAGACATCATCAAAATTAAACAATATGATTAACAGCTTGAATTGGGATAATTTGAGCAATGTTTATATACGATCACTTTTTCAAGTGGTACATATCAGAACAAACATGACTCGAAATGTTCTAATTCTTGCAAAGTTAGTCTATACTTGTGTGTGTGCGTATCACATAGTAATGCTAGCCTAATAAACCGGAACAAGAGCATATAATGTATATAAGATTCATATCATGATTAGTAGAGGCCGATCTTTGAACGGGCGAGTGGGGGTGCTCAATTCATTCATGACTTTCCTCTCTCGTACCTAATGCTAGCCTAATAAACCGGAACAAGAGCATATAATGTATATAAGATTCATATCATGATTAGTAGAGGCCGATCTTTGAACGGGCGAGTGGGGGTGCTCAATTCATTCATGACTTTCCTCTCTCGTACCTAAGTTCTCGAGTCAAGACAATCTTGGTGATGACGGATACGTGGCCTTAGGCACGAGTCATGGGTTTCCTAATTTTCTCAAAAAAAATACTTAGGTAGCGACTTTGTATCTGACAAAGTAGTCCATTTTTGGCAATTTGATTCAAAATCGATTTTTCAAAAGATTTGTTAGATTGGGACTCTTTGGTGTTTATCTATTTCACATTGCACTTGTGGAATCAAATTTAGAACCGCGGGGGTCCGATACCATAGGGCTTATTCGTCTTCCGAAAGGGGGCGCGAAAATGTCGAGCTAAAAGCGGTGGCGTCCAAGTCGTAAGGGCGATAAAAAATAGAGTGTCTACACAGTGACATCAATTTGTCAACAATACTATTTTAGCATATATGGTGTTAAATCACCAAATTTTTTCGTCCCCAGGCATATATTTTATATATGTTTGTTTGTTGAAAGGGTTGTTGTCAATTTAATTTTAATTTTATAACTCTTCAAGAACATTCTTGACTTAGTCCTAAGATTTCTTGCCACTGCTATAGTTATATACTTCGAACTATGAGTCCTAATCCCTAAACATTTCAAGCACCAATTAATTTATGGGTCACAAAAGGATGTTTTTAATAGACATTTCAGATTCTTAGTTTCCTGGTTTATCCCTAATCCCTAAACTTAGTTTCCTGGTTTATTGGAATTTTTTTTTCCTGTTGTTTTGTTTTTTTTGTTTTTTTTTCACCATCAGGGTGGATTTTAAATGGAGTTTTAGCAATACAGGAAGAAGAATTTGTACTTAGGTTAAAAAGAAATGTCATGAAGAAACAATATTCTTAACTTGTGATGCATTCTTCAATTAGTCATAACATTTCAGATTTTTAGTTTCCTGGTTTATCCCTAATCCCTAAACTTAGTTTCTCGGCTTATTTGTTTTTTTTGTTTTGTTTTTTTTCCCTGCTCTTTTTTTTTTCCCAACATTAGGGTGGATTTTAAATGGAGTTTTCAGCCATCAAATAAAAGGATAATTTTTTTGGATCACCATTTTAAGGCTTTATTCTTGAAGAGAAAATAAATATACATCTCTATTGTGTGTGTGTATGTAAAGATATTGTACCAAAAACAAACATAGCTATATATGTTTTTTAATATGTATACATATTGGGTTTCTCAGTTTTGGGTTTCTCCTTTTTAATATGTTTACATATTGTAAATTACCTATCGATAGATGGATCAATAGAATAATGGCATGCGACAAAGTCGGAGTGAGAGTTGTACATCAATTAAAAGGACAAGTGGCATTAGAGAGGTTGATCACATGCATTGGATGGTTCACATGATGGAGCAGTTATCATGCTAGGCCTCGATGATGGAGCAGTTATCAGGCTAAGTTGCCGGCTTAGTGGGCAACTTGCAAGAAGAGTCATGTGCAGAATGGTGGTTTCTCTCTGTCGATGGGAAGTTTGGAGTGTTGAGGGACACATAACAACATGAAAGAAGGGCAGATCGACAGGTGAAGGTAAATGTTTAATGAAGTTTGAACCTTTGGAAATAAGAGGGGCAGTTATAGAATTTTTTAGAATTTAGAATTTGTCAAAATTTTTCAGAATTTTTGAGCCATGCAAAACTATGGATTACGACATTCAACACCCATTTTGGGTTTGTGAATCACACCAAAACTTAATTTTGGTGGATTGGCTAAAGATCCAACATTGTTTGAATAATATAAGGATAAATTTTTAAGGTTTTATTCATGTGCAGAATGGAGGTTTCTCTCTGTCAATGAAAAGTCTGGAGTATTGAGAGACACGTGACATCATGAAAGAAGGGCAGATCGACAGGTGATAAAGTTTGAACCTTTGGAAATAAGAGGGGCAATTATAGAATTTTTCACAATTTTTGAGCCATGCAAAAGTATGGATTATGGCATTCAACACCCATTTGGGGTTTTTGAATCACACAAAAACTTAATTTTGGTGGATTGGCTGAAGATCCAACATTATTTGAATAATATAAGACTAAAAAGAAAAGTTCTGTCAGTGGAAAGTGGTTCTCATTAATCACTTGATGAAAACATTTTACTATCCCTATAATTGCTTGCAACCTCCTTGGCTTCTTTAAACTTTTATCTTTGACCCAATTCCGCTTTTAAACCTCTAACCACATCATCGCACAATTTCTCTTCAATTAATGAGTATGATCGACAGAGGTAAGCTCTACAATGCACAAATATGGTCCCCTATAAATCAGTCCACCAAGCCAATTAACCAATTGATAACTAGCTCATGACCCTCTCGGCCAATTAATGCACATGATCAATTCCTTCACACCACGTAGCCTCTTGACTGCTGAAAGATTTTATTTTGACTTCATTGCCACGTGTTATCGTTCGATTAATCCACCTGTCGATAGGAATTTTACAAAAATGGGTGCGAACAATACCCCTTAACTCTTTAAGAATGAGAAGCACATGTTAATAAGATAGCCACCAAAGGCCATATGATAAATATGTTGTGCATTCTTCACAAATGTAATCCAATGTAGGCCACGTATGAGTTTTTAAATTGGTCATAGATTACTTCAATTGACAGTGTATGTATACAATCGACAGAGCAATGCATGAACCAAGTGTTTAGACCTTAGAAATACTTCAGCAAGAATTGGCCCATTAGTTGGAGCACAAAAAACTTCCAATCTTGATAGACACTCTAAACTATAAAGCAAATATTTGGGACATCAGATTGTTTTAGTTATTGGTACTTCGAAATTGGCTAATTAAGAAATCACAATGGGTAATGACATGGATAGGCCCGCAAGGCATACGGCCCACAGCAAACCACCCCAAACCCATCGCTTAGGACCAATAGCATAACCCGGTTGGCAAAGCCCAGGACAGCTGGAGGCCATCTAGACATGGGGGGCCAATAGCATTCAGGCACATGGCAGGTGGAACACGGGCCACATCAGCAGACAAAGATCTGCAGAGTTATTATCACAACACATCACCATTAATGCATCCCATCACAGCATTTATTACGACAACACCTCTCCGTCAGAACAGAGCCCCCTCACCCTGAACAAGGTAAGCTACGGCACAGGCTTTCGGCGGAAGGGGGCACGTCACAAGGGACAGTGAAATGATTACCAAA